TGCTAAAAGGTGAATAAATTCATTTTGAATTTGTGGTGATAGGTGTGAGACAGTTTTTGGCGTGTCCTTGACATTTTTAAAATGATTTCCTAGTAGTGGCTCAAACTGAGCTACAAATTTAAGTAAAGGTAATAGATTTCCGACATTTGTACTATCTTGAAACTCTAAATTTTCAACATGACCGGATAAAGGAAGAACTTCATACAAGCTAATATTCGTTGCAATATATTTCAACACCTTTCCTTTCGGACTCTATATTTGCTTCTAATGATTCCCGTTTTATTAATTAACCTTCCTTTTTCTTTCCAAATTGTAAACGATTTTCGATGATTTGGATTTCTTTCATGGCTAATCAATTTATCTTTTTCCATTCATTTATTAAAACAAGATGTTAGAAAAGATGACTGTGTAGCGAAATTTGGTGTAATAGACAGTAAGAAAAAGAAAAAAAAAACACTATCCTGCATTATTTTTTGGTGAATTTCCTTCTTCTTGAGTACTTGCCTGTCGAGAAAAACCAAGATTTTGGCATTAAACGATTAGCTGATGTTGCTACTACATTTAGACTGGCTTCGTTCTGAAATATGCAGGATCCACGAATAATCATTTCTGTGAGAAAATGGTTCGGTATTTTTGAAAGATTAGTACTAAATTTCAAATAAACAACATCTTTGAACTCCACAACGTACGGAATTATAGTGAGAGTTTCCGTTGCATTTTCTTTTCATTAGATATAGACATGCATTTGGAACTTCTCATGTACTTGAGCCCCGATCTTCAGAGTCTTGTATTTGTTGTGATGTGTTATCGCATAGAAGTTTAGCAACAGGAGGAGTACAACCTGAATCTGATTCTGACTCTGATTTCACTTTTCATCCTTCTTATCTTCTGCTTTTTCCTTTTGCGATTTTTTTAACTAAACATGATTTTATTATTATTCTAGAGATCTGGGCTTCGTTTTGTTACTCTAGTTTTCTGTTAAAGTTCTGAGGAACCTAAGTTTGGCATTGGCATGGTCTAAATAAAAAATCAATTTTTATTATATTAATTAACGTATCACTTTTGAACAACACAGCATTAAAAAAATCTGATGTGTACACCACATGACTTCCTTGTACGGAATATTAAATTATACGCATTTTTTCTTGCATTTTATTTAAACTTATTAGATTGAATTAAACCTACTTCGCCGACGGCGCATAAACCACAGTAGAATAAATGCATTCTTTAAAATTCACTTTGTTTACCATAGCGACACTCTGGCGCTAGGTTTACTTAACAGTATTATATATTTCATTCATATTATAACTCAGAATGCACAAAATGTATATCATTTAAAAAATTATCTAATCGTTGCCACATGTTCTGTTCAATACTATAATAAAGCTAGAACTATGTATAAAAGAAATTAAGCAAATAAAACAAAAAAGAAACAGTTTTTCACAGACGATTGAGTATTTCTCATTTAATTAATTCAGTTCTTACTTCGCGAGAAGGCAAAAATACATAAAAACTCAAAATATCTATATTAAAAATGACGAAGTAAATCTCAAACGCTTATTTCCTCGAAAAAATTCCAGAAAGAATTAAGCATGATTTTGTTAGTTGTGCATTAGCACTGAAGGCGTAATGAGTACGTTTCCTCAAGCACAGAATTAAAGAATCATAAGTCAAAAGATTAACTACGAAATCTTTATTTAATAATATAGGATAATTCTGCTTAACTTAAGCATAACAAAAAGTAATAATGTTCAAGGACATTAAAATTGAAGTATTGAAAAGAATAACTTACATAGAATCCTCATCAGTACTAAATATCATCAGGCTTACCTATATTAGGCAATAAGAAAAATAAACAGGAACATACTTTGCCATCGTACCTGAAAGAGAAGAAAGTACTACTGGATTAGACCTTTGGCCAGGTACAAGTAGCTAGGGTGAAAATCAAATATACTGCATTGCACACGAGCTTTACTTTCTCTCGCCAATATATACCTTGGCGCACGTTCGTTTCGTATGCCTTTCGAGTTTCATTATGCAAAATACCTAAATTTATGCTAACAGATTTAATTGGCAATAATAAATGAATGCGTTATCTTTGTTGTTGCGAAGCTAAGTTTCTCTAGATTGGCAACAAATCCACTAGTCTCCTGTTTCAAATGTAAACATCAATGGCCGCCATTAAAAACAGGCTTAACGACAATTAAACAACTTTAAAATTACTGATAATTCTAAAAATATTGCACACAGATTTACTAAAGGCATAAAATCCTTAACCGGAAGATAAAAGCAATATAATTCAATCATTTTTAAAGAAAAAAATGTACAATTTACAAAAGAGTAAAGAAACTGAGATCACTAAGCCGGGTAATAGAGTGGATATATATATAAATATATTTATATACGTTTGGTGCGGCCGATTGTAACCAAAATACGAGGTGCACATCTACATGTTATAGCAGTCCTATATACAAAATTTCAACGTTCTGAGGCTACTCATTTTTGAGTTATGCGAGATACGTACGTACGCACGTATATACATACGTTCGTACAGACGCCACGAAAAATTCTGTTCAGAATTCATTTTAAAGCAGTTTTATAATTTTTTTGAAGGAAAAGAGTATTTTATTCTGTCCTTACGTACAGATATCACGCAAAAACATCGTTAAATTTCATTCGATTGCGGTCAAAATGGATATTTTCGTTGAAATATGCTGCCTGAAACATTTTTAACTTTTTCGCGATTACAATACTTCCTTTTTACTTCGTATAAGGAAGTAAAAATATAAAAGGAAAATTTATTTTATTTGAAATTGCAAACGATGTAATAATAAAATTTTAATATTGTCGATCTCTTCAATTACACTCTATAACAACAACAACAAAAAAAAAAAAAAAAAAAAAAATCGACGCGCCAAGAAGTTGTCCGATGGAGACAAAAATGGTGGATGGGAAGACTATGTACAGAACAGAAAATGATTAAAATTTCAGAAAAGTTGAATGATTTATTTCAGAGTTACATATTTACAAAGTAACGAGCTCAATAATGTGTTGACCCACCTCGTCGCTAAAGACTATACGTCGTCAATCAGCATCATGCCAATCGGATCGAGTCAAGCACCACTGCAATCTAGCTCGGCAGTGTGGAGGCGTGAGTGGCTAACGGTCGGTACGAGTGTAGATTTCGCTCTATCAGCCGTCTCTGAATGGTCATAGTGGACACTCGTGTGCGGGTCACACATCTGATGGTTGATAGCGATGGTTCAGGCGTTGTGACAGCTGATCTGACTATCACTCTGTGCTCCCGATCTGTTGAGCCCTAGGTCGACCGGTCGACCACTACCATCATGACGCTGAAATCTGCCATTGTTCACCCGTTCTTGCCAGCATCTTCTAATCGCCACATCTCTTCGACCCGCATGACGAGCGATTCTCCGATTTGCCCAACCTGCCTCTTTCAATCCAATGAAACGATTTCTTTCAAACTCTGACATTTGCTCGTAATGAGCTCCCCAAATCGCAATGCAACATAAATTTTTAACAACAGTTCAAAAACAGCTCCTTATATACATCTGCTGGAAGCGCAGTTCCGATGTGCTGGAGATCGCAATATTCATTCATTGGACACCAAATTTTAATCATTTGCATATTTGGTCAAAACATTTTGGCACACAAATCTTCAAAGCAGTCAGATGATTCCTTCTTGGTGCGTCGAGTTTTTGTTATAGGGTGTACTTTATTGAACATTGTTAAAAATTTCACTCATATACAGTTCACTCAATAATAGAATCGCCAAGTGGATGTTAAAAAAACAAAATGCACAAGAAAGACATCTCTTGGCCGCCGAATTAATGATAGTCAGAGGCTGAAAAGCTTATAATATTATAAAAGCCTATAGTGTATTAATCGTTGTAAAATAACAAGCGTGAACTGTACGTGCATTTCGTTTAAAAAAAATTAATATGTCGCTAGTTTAGAAAAATAAAGTGTTCAGAAAGAAAGAACGATTTGTATATGGAGATATTTAATTGCTTTACTGAAAACAGTATTAATAACATAATTTATCAGACAAAACAAGAAACGAAATAATTAATTATATTTTAATAATTATTGATTTAAAGTATATTTCTCAGAAATCGATCAAAATAAAAATTGAATTTCCCCGGAAAATCTTTTTTGTCTTGGGGACAATTTGGCGTCCCTCGGCAAGCGGTGCCACAGCATGATAGACCCTCTTCCCACCCCTCGCTATGCCACTGCCTAGGAGTGCCAAATTCTGTGTTTTTTTCCCCCTTTGGTACTTTCTTGATAGAGTAATTGCCTAGTTTTTGTTACTTTTTATGAATTGTGAATTATTGTCTGTGATAGTATAGCTGTTGTGTTACTTCACCGAATTAACCCTTTACTATGCCGAAGAAGTATTATTACTAATTTTTCTTGTAAATACTCTGCTTGAAGGTAACTTTCTTATCACTAATCTTATCTAATATATGACGAAAGCTTGTCAAAAGGGAGGTAAAAAATATCCTGATACCGATTAAGGTTAAAGAGAAAAGCTAAGAAAATATTTTTGGGTTTGAACTGTATTTTTTAAGTTATAAAATTTGGAAGTTAATGTAATTTAAGTAATTTAGTGTGCATATGACAGATATTCTGAAGGCAGCATTTCTCCGTTCTTTTATATAAGAAACTTCAAACATTCGTTTTTGATGTATAAAATTGCATCATGAGGTTTTAATTGACATTAAGGTTAGAGTTTTGTATTACTTAGCAAAATTAAAGTCTAAAATAGTATCACTGGCCGAAGCCTCCGAATTTATACAGATGCTAAATATTTATTTTTGTTATATGGCTATAAAGGAATTTGTAGCGAATGACAGCCATTCAGTTTAGTGAGTTTAAAAAAAAATGTAGCTGTTTTAGATATTGTGAAGAAAACTTTTCGAAATTTAAATATCGGTGAATTACATTAACAATATTTCTTTTTTTATTCTACGCAGCGGCAAAGATGGAAAACCCAACTACAAGGACTTTCCAGAACAGGGTATCATAGTTAATGTTCTTGCGATGTGTCTCATTGCTTTGGCTATCATCTTACCTTACATCATTCGCAATAGTAGCTACAGGCGATACACTACTCTGACCATCAACTGAGGATAAAAAGACACTTATAAATAACATCTTGTGCATATTTTTCTTTTATATACATATATATATATATATTATAAGAAGAGGACAAGTGTGCGGAACTGTAGGAATGGACTTCAGCTTGGACAAAAACGGCCAGCGCTTCGCCCAGTACCATGAAGCCCGTCTGAAATTCTAATTACAGCAATCATTGAGACTATACGATTGTAAAGGTTCTGCACTATCTAAGAACTATGTGAACAAGGACACAACTAAATATACTCCGCAGAAATCATTTACCATTAGTGATGTTTTAGTTTCGGAGTTTAAAATATACATTCATTAAGTGATTAATACTAATTTATTTGGTTAAATTTAAAATATAATTTAATTTTGAAATTCCTGCTATGGAAATTCATTTGGTTTTAAAGATTTAGCAGTTGTTAAAATGAAGTACAGTGAAGTGATTGAATGATTATAGCGGCTATGGAAAGGGACTAGCTGCGTATTTCGGACAGAAAGCCTGTTTCTCTATTGAACGTTTTAAACTGAATTGATATTAAAACAGAGAGTTTTTATAATGAGGTAAAATTCAAGCAATTGCATGTTTCTTTTCCATACAGTGTTTTTTTTTTTTTTTTTTTTTTTTTTTTTTGTGTGTGTGTGTGTGTGTGTGATTGCTGAAAATTTATTGTTTTTAAACTATTAAAATATTTTTGAATTAATTTATTCTTTATACGTGAAAGCGAAGCTATTTTTATTATTTTAATTATTAAATTCCCCTTTAAGTAGCTTTTACAGCAAAGTCTCATTCTTAATTTTTCCAATTTCTTTGGAAAATAGTAGATTTCATATGTTTCAAAAAAAAAAAAAAAAAAAGACACGGCTCTTATTTATATTTTAAACTACGAGTTAAACTAAGAAAAGTTTCTGCATACCAAGTTATTTTATTTTATACTGAACCTTATGTTTGGGGGAGGAAAGAGGACACGTCTTCTCAGAAAGAGCGTTTGCAAAAAGGACTTTTACATATTTATTGAGTTTGATAATAAAAAAGTAGTAATTATTTGCGAATTAAATTAATTATTACACTGCGGAAATAAAAAAAATAATAATAATTGTGTCCTTGTTCTATCATTTTGTGCAAAGTCAAATTAAAATTGAGACTTTCCTATTTTGCATCGTTTACAAACATTTCTTTTTCGTGGAACGGATTTCGTGGATTCAGTGTAATTTGTCTCCTCCCGATGTTCTGCGAAAAAATTATTTTGTATTTGTAATTTTATTTACAATCATTTTTTAGACTTTTGCAATGTATTACATTTCTAAGCTCTTTAATTGCAAAAGTGTTATATGTAGTTCTAAATAATATCTTAAGTGCGATTTAGCGGCTGTGCTTGTTTTCTTACTATGTAATATATTCTTATATTTTTACGTGTGTGCAAAATATGTTATAAAAATGTAATTGCGATATTAAAAGGTAATTTGTATATGACGAAGCAAATAGCAGTTTTTTGATATGTTAGTATAAATTATTTCGTTTTCTCATTTTTTCAAAATAATATTCATTACCAAAAATTTATTATGATTAATTTATATTAAATATCCCGCAGGCGTGGATTTACTAATATAGGCTCAGGAATCGATTTTCTTAAAACTTTCAAATAAGCTGTTAATACAAATTCGTTATTAAATCTATTAAATGGAATATGAGATTATTGTTCCAGTAGCTCTTAATGGCTCGAGAAATGCGTCATGGAATAGTAGAAATAGTCTTTTCATGAATACGATTGAATAATTTAAAGAGTGGGAAAAGCATTTTTCCTAAATAATGAATAAAATGTAGATAAGTTTTTTTTTTTTTTTTTGTTGTTGTTGTTGTAAAAAGTAAAATTCATGGACCAGATAAAGGGGAAACTTATCAGCAGTTGCAGTTTTAAACTTTTCGTGTTTCTGAAATCTGCTGCAACATCATGTTGAAACATGCCTGAAAATTATAAATAAAATGAGGTTTGATACAGAAAATTATTTCTAGTATGCATTCTATCGTAAACTTATTCTCATCATAAAACTTGAGTTATTTGCAATCAAGTGTACAGTTTTATGATTAAAATCTGTGTTTATAGTATTCCTCAAAGTAATACTTTTCTACCTCTGCTATCAGCAAAAGCCAGTAATTATCAAAGAGAGTTTTAAATTCTAAAAATTTCCTTTTGCATTTTGAAGAAACTTGATATTATTTCTTGAAATTACTGATAATGAAATTACTGATAATCGATTTTTTTACTTATTAATATAAATTAAATGCAAATATTTATAAAACAAATCAAACTGTATCTTGTAGTTCAATTCATATACAAGCATTAGTTAAAAAGTCAAACTGAATATTCTTACAAACTTTAAATTGTACCTGATTGTGAGAATGCAGCACTGAACATGATTTCTAATTTGCTTCGTGAAACATTCAATTTATGAATGATATTAAAGTTTGTCTATATAAAGTTTTTAAATTGTATGTTATAAATAATTTGGGTGTTGTTAGTAAATTATAACATGCGAAAGAGTAAAAACTATAACTACAGAGGAGTTTATTTGTTAAAAAAATCAAATTGCACAATATATTCTATTGTTTTGGTGTATTTCATTCATTTGCTGTATACATAAATGTGGTTAAGCTACTACTTTTTATTCAAAAATTTGTATAACTTTATATAAATAAAAAAATTGTACGTATTGTTTATTTTCTTCACTTAAAAATAATATACTGACATATCATTTTATTACTTGCAGAAGGCTCAGTAGTTTGAATTTTATTTCTAACCAGTTTTAATTTCAATGTTTTAAAATAAAAATAATTTCGTGTCAAAGCACCGAAATCTAAATACTGTGAAATAAGCTAACTGAATGAAATTTTAAAATTTGCAAACATTTAAAGGGTTGTTATAGCTTCAAACTCAAAAGATTACATATAAAGTCTATAACTATTGCAGCAGAAAATTAAAATTTCAAAAGAGATATTAGAAATAAAAATCTAAAAAATATTAAACATAAAATTTGATAATACATGCAGAAATCCTAAAGAGGAAAAGAAACTAAAGAAAAGGGATGTGAATATAAGTTTAACGTGACTGAGCCTCTCTTTCCACAAACATGTTTTGCAAATTAATACTCATCTTGTGCTCTTTGAACCCCACAAATATGGCGCCTCACGGGGGAGGGCTCATAATACCAAATTCTCTGTACCGTTTAATGGTCTTGTGAAAACTGTTTTCTGACAAGAAACTACTTTTGGGTGTCTGTATCCAACAATGCGTTCGTTGGTACATTGATTAACAGAATTTGAATGACTAACAGTGCTAAATATTTTACTGCCACCATATTTAATTGAGCCTAAGAGGAGTTTTACTTCTTCCAAGGTGAGTGTACTATTTGTAGTTAACTACCCCTTATTAGTTTAAATTCTTGCTATCTTGCTCCTGTTTTTCACTTTTATGATTTGTCTTGGCGATCAGCATTCGTGGAGGAAAATTTCTTTCTATTTCCAAACATTTACCGCCTACAAATCTTGGGTTTTCTTCCGCTACAGATATACGAAATTATCCGATCGATCTCCGGCCATATCAGCTTCCTCCTCGGTATCTGATCCACAAATAAAGTCGTCAACATATATGAAGTTTCCTAATATTTCGACAGTTCTGCGATAGATGCTTTCAAATTTCTTTAAATAATGCTTTGCAAGCATTAATAAAATAGACTTATTTTGCTGAAAACATTACACGACACATTCAATAAACTTGAATTCTTGGATTACTCAAACTTGAATTCTCATCAATCCACAAAAGTCGCATTGAATCCCGATCTTCAGAAGCAAAGAAATTTGCAAAAACGCCTTCTGAATATCTGACGTAAATGCAATTCGATGAAGCCGAAAACTTATTAAAACTTTTAAAGGTTCAGGAAGAAGATTTGGTCCTTGAAGTGATCATTTAGAGATTTATGATGCTTCTTGGAAGGAAAAAAATCATGAATCTCTAAATGAGAATTTACTTCAAGTAGATAACATGGTTACACTAGAATTTCTCCAGATACAAACATTGTGTTAAACATTAATAATCTAAAGGTTCCTGGTTCGTTCCCGGGTTTCGGCACCATAAAACAAATATGTAAAAGTCTTTAAATAATCGAAGACTGGGTCGCATTTGAAGTAATAAACTTAAAGTGCTATTCTACACACCGTTTATTGACGAACTGCTACATATACACAATTATGACATCACAGTTTCTTTTTACCAATAAACACTACCACCATCTATTGGCCATCTGAGAATACATAATCATAAACTTATATTGAACAGTCTGTGTGTTGAGGCTGGCACTCCACCAGACCATTACATAACAGCATGCTCACTCAGAGAGGTGTGGCACATGCGACTGCCAGTTGATGGTACACTGTTCATGTGTTTCTTTCATTAAGCACCCTGCTCTACTCAGAAAACTTGAACTTATAATGGAAAAATTGCAGGCTTTGGGGCAAGACCTACATCAGTCACCTAGTGCAATACTGATTCTCGCCCAATCTTCAGTACTAACTGTCTTACTCCCGGGTGTCTCATTATATGGTTCTAATGCTCTTGTGCGGCATGTTAGTATGCTAGTTAGTGCGTGTATGATGGAACCCTGTACATGAACACTCAGAAGTAACTAATGTATCCACAACAACGATATATGTAAAACTAGCAGCTTCGCTGCCACCCTTCGTCTGGCTTTTAAATGTACCGGAAAAATGGCTGAAGGAAACACCAAACGTTAAATTTAAAAACTGAGTAGAATTTTACTCTGCAGAACTACTTCATAAAAAAAGTTATTACGTATAACAAAATTACGATGAAATAAGCAATATCCCTTAATACAAATATTAATTATCCTAATAAATAAATTAACCAACTTCCCTTTGCATAATCTTAAGAACTCGAATGGTATAAAGAAGGTTAAGAACTTTGTTTCCTAAAAAAAATCACTCAAAACTTTTCAATATCTTAAAAACAGTGAAATGAGCAATAAATAACATAAAAGAATACAAACAACAAAAAATTCTGAAAAGCAAAGTATAATTAATGATATTTTATCATATATTTTCAAGAGAAAAAAATTACAATGAAATAAGCTATATCCCTTGATACAAATATTAATTATCCTAATAAAAAAATTAACCAAATTTCCGTTGAAAAAAAAAATCATGCAAAACTTTTCAATATCTTACAAATAGTGAAATAAACAAAAAATAACATGAAAGAAACTCAAAAAACGTCTCGTCTGAAATTCCGCGCAAGATTTACTCTGCAGAACAATTTTATCAATAAAAATGTATTATATATATAAAAAAAATGACAATGAAATATGCCAATCTCTTAAAAAGTGACATAATACGATGAAAAATTGTTGCCAAACCCATATTTCTAAAAGAATGAAACTATTCAAAATGATGGGATTTCATCAAAAATCTATGAACAACAATAAGACAGGAAAATTGTTGCCAAAATCACTTTTTTAAATGTGAGATGACATTTGTGAGATGGGAGAAGTGTACTTGGAAGCTTCATTTAAAAAAAGTTTTTAAAATACAAAATATTATCATTTTTCCAAAATTCTTTTTGTAAAAGCAGTCGCAACGATGAAAGTTTAACGTGTCCAAAAATCAAAGAAAAATAAACTGTACATTTTTAAAAATAAACTTTCTTAGAAAAAATCCCATTGAAAAGGTGTTAAGCTCCCTTTGTTAAATAAGTTCGTATTTAATCGATTTATTGAAACACGAAATTTTAAGTTCGTAAAATAGCTAAATGCCTACGTTTCATGACGGTGTGAAAATGGAGTGCGTG